AGAGATTGTAAGAAGGATAAATAAACAATTCTGAAAGTCAGGAATGCTTGAGCCTCACTGAGGGAGTATGAGGGACAGCTTTGTGAGATAGGTGGCATTTATCTCAACCCTAGTGGATGGAGGAGCTCTTGAGAGACAATTACTTGGGAGGAAGCCAGTTGGGGAGGATATCCAAAACAGAGAAAAGCAAAAGCATGGAAACAAAAGCACAGGACTTTCTGGGGAACAACCGATTGCCCAGTTTAACAGGAGTACTGGGAATATGAGGAATCTGGGTAGTATGGCTGGAAACACTGGCTAGAATCAGACCATGGGGTCCCTGAAGCCATTAATAGTTTGAACTTTATTGGAGAGGCAATTCAGAGCCTCTGAAGGAATCAGGTAGAAGGTGAACAGTTAAGGAGAAGGGCGACCATGAAACACAGAGTCAGAATGGACAACATTATGAAGGAATCACCATAAATACACCATAGCTCATGAAGAACATGGACAGTAGAAAAAACAGGAAAAAAAGCGATAGCTGCTTTCACAGCGATACTTGCTTTCACACATTTCCCAAAACCTGCTCTTTTAATCGACACTTTTTGCCATGAGGCAACTCTTATAATAGCATATTGAGTGTCATGGTTAATAAATGTGATATATTCACTACCAAACCATAAACACGCAGACATTTAATAAATAAAACTCATGAAAAACATATTTCGTCATTTAGTTTTATAAAGAAACTTGTGGAAACACATGGAAATCCAAAATACTGCATCGTATTTGATCCATGAAAATCATAAAATATCAGACAGGGAAATCCAGCTAATTTCTTCATCTTAAGGAGGGCAACTCTGGGGCTGCTTAACTATTAAGAAAGCATAGGAAAGCATGTGAGAGTAATAAGATCTAGCAAGAAGCAATATTAGCAACACATAATTTTTCACCCAAGAATTTGGATAACAAGGGTGAACATTTTTAACTTTCAATAGAAAAACTACATCTAACTCCTGAAAAATGTGATCAAGAATCAAAGGCTTATTTTCTGTCCCACAAACAAATTGCCAATAATTATCAAGCCAGTTAGGCAGACATGTTGCATTGCCCTCATATTCAATAAATAATATTTAATCTTCCCTGTCAAAATTAAGATAAAATTAAATTTGTACCCTATTTCCAGAAAATCCAATAAATTCCAGTAGTCTGATAATCCTTGCTGGTAAAAGGGACAGCATCTGTAAGAAAAAAAATATACAGTGTACTTATGTGTTAGTGTTTCTAACTGCAAACAAATTTAAACAGTTTTAATGCTTCAATAATGTGAAAAATTGGAAACAAGTTTTAACCACCAGATATTTCTGTGACCACATATTGTAACAATCATTTATGAATAAATTTTATTTAGCTATAACAATGAACCTTTAAAAAGTTTTGTTTTAAGGCTGGTCTTTCCAGTGTTCTCTATAGAATAGTGGGAACTTTGATGTGGTGTGAAGAAGTGACAAGAAGGCAATCCCTCAAAGCCCATGTCCAGGCAAGGTTTCTTAGTTTCCTTTCCCAGAAGCAAAAATCCATCATAGTCTGTGAGATGTGTAGACACCACCCAGAAGTGGACAGCTGCAGCGCTACCACTTCTCTCCGGGATATTCCTAAAGGACAGTGGTGAGGGAATATCCTTCCAGTGGGCAGAACCTTGGGCAGTGCACCTGGTTATGCACTATGCTTGAAAGGAGAAATGGCCAGATGTGCAATTATATATGCTGATTCAGGGGATGTAGACAATGGTTTGGTTGGATGGGCACAGGCTTGGAAAGAACATGATTGGAAAATTGGTGACAAAGAGCTCTGGGGAAGAAGTATGTGGACAGATCTTCCTGAACGGGCAGAAAATGTTCCCATGTGGATACACATCAAAAGATGACCTTAGCAAAAGAGGATTTTAACAACCAATTGGATAGGATGGTTCATTCTGTGGGTACCAGTCAGCCTCTTTCCCAATCATCACCCACGGGTTCGTAAGCAAAGTGGCCAAAGCGGCACATACACTCACGTGTATACTTCTCTTGACCACTTTATTTTTTCACTAATTCCAGTGAACCATCAACAAAATTTAAAAATCTCTTAATAACATATTGGAATTTGACAGATTACTACTCAGACTTCATCTCCTCAGGGATCATCAAAAATCATTCCTCAAGTTATACTGGTCCCTCACACATTTTCAATTCCAGAGCCGTCACTGTCATTGCAACAATATTTCCAATGTGGAAATGGATTCCACTGTTCCTTGTTACCAAAATCTTTTTTTTTTTTTTTTTAATATATATATTTTTTAAGACGGAGTCTCGCTCTGTCGCCCAGGCTGGAGTGCAGTGGCCGGATCTCAGCTCACTGCAAGCTCCGCCTCCCGGGTTTGCGCCATTCTCCTGCCTCAGCCTCCTGAGTAGCTGGGACTACAGGCGCCTGCCACCTCGCCCGGCTATTTTTTTGTATTTTTTAGTAGAGACGGGTTTCACTGTGTTAGCCAGGATGGTCTCGATCTCCTGACCTCGTGATCCGCCCGTCACCAAAATCTTACTAGTCTATTCAGAGTGCCACAGGCTTCCCTTACATTTTACAATCCAAAGCTACTCTGAGCATGTGTGGAACTTCATAACACACTAGGTCACAGTGCCGGAAAACTGATCCCACTCTAGCTGTTTGTCAACCAACCCAGGGAGAGGGTCAGGATGAGATTCAAATGCAGTGGAGAAGGCACAGATAACCTTCGGTTCTTCTGCAAAAGTTCTGGTTTCTTTATAGTGATTTCCTTACCAAATTAAAGGCCCCAGTGCCAAGCTTGACACCCCCTTCAAACTCATAGAAGAATTCCTGCTGAAGTTTGTTCTTCTGAATTTCATGCAGGATAGAAAGACATTCTCTGGATTGAAGAAAAAAAGTGATAGTGTAAGTTGACCATGACTCTGAAAATAAATATTAAATCACATTTTACAATTACATACTGTAAAATAAATGTCATTAATTAAAATACCATCAAAATTTTAAATGGATGATGCTGTGCTGAGTTTACTCTTAAGGATACTAGGTAATAATCATCAAGGAAAAAGGAGACGCTCATTTTTACAGTGTCTAGCAGAACCAGTGTTTCTGGGCTTAAAGAGGGGGTTCACCCATTGGCAAGCACCAGCCAGGAGCCACAGGACCACAGGCTGCCATCCCACAGCTTCCAGCAGCGTCTTACAGTGGACTGCTTGAGAGGGCTCAGCTCCTCAACCACTGCACACACTGCAGCCCAAGGAAATGAAATGCTACTGGCAAGAAGATCTGAACTTCAGTGTGACTGCCATTGTCTCAAATAGACCAAATAAATTAGGGCTTGGGACCAGGACAGACTGAAAACAACAAAGCAAAGGCCATCACAATGGTCCCATCTGTCCTCTGCTTTCTTCCTGCTCCATCCATGCACATCTTTCCAACTTCTCACTATATTTTCTAAGTATTTCTCTCTTGCCTGTTCACATCATCTTCAAAAGGCAAATCTTTACCGGAGAAATACAAACTAAAACAATGACAAAAATATAAAAATTGATAATAACTGGGAATTGCTTATCAAATTGACAAATTTAATAATAAGGAATAATGAGATATCATGTATCACTTGGTGTGATGCAATTATAAAATGTGCAACTACACCTGTGATCCAGTCTAGCCAAATATTTTTAATCTGAATCTAGCAAGCCTATAGACCTAACTTCCAGTTTACAAAAAATTTAAGGGTTTAGAGAGTCAATTCAGATGCCCACCAGCCTACAAGTATCCCCTGCTGTCATTTTCCCTGAGTCATTTATTTTTTATTATGGTGTATTTTGCCAAATAAAATGATGCATGCTTATTTAGTCAGCTCAATGAATTTCCTCTGATTTCTGATTTTATGCCATGGCTAAAAGGCCTTTGAAACTGACATCATGTACCTAATGATATCATTTCTCTGGTATTTTTGCCATAGATTCATAATCTGAATTTAATCATGAAGAAATGTTAGAAAAGTCCACAATGATGGTTGTTTTACTAAATAACTGGCCAGTTTATTCTTTTAAAGTGTCAACATCATTAAAGACAGAGACTGAAGAACTATTCCGGATGAAAAGAGACTAAGAAGACATGACAGCTAAACTCAGTATCCAGGATCCCAGGTTGGATCCTGAGCCAGAAAAAGGGCATTGATGAGACAACTGGAGAAATGTGAGTAAAGGCCATGGAGTAAATATTAATACTGTATCCATGTCAGTGTCCTGATTTTATTCATTGTAATGTGCTTCCGCAGAATATTAACATTTGTAAATCTGAGTGAAGGCTATATGGAAATTTTTTGTAAAAATTTTCAAATTATTTCAAAGTGAAAAAATGAAAAATAAAAAAGTTTAAAGCTTTTATATTTAAGAATTATAAAAATACTTTATGTTTCCTGCTAGAATTCTTTTTAAATCTTTTAATATTAAACTTATATGGACTTTTTTCGTCTTAATGATTTTTCCATAAAATGAACAATTTTCCCAAAAACACTTCCTAAAGTACCTACCTTTCTTCACTGTTTTGAAAGGGCCTATGTATATAAAGGAATTTAGTATATTTTGAATTCCCAGGTAAGAGTGTGTGTGTGTGTGTGTGTATGTGTGTGTAAATCCATGTATGCACACACACATGCTGTCTCTTTCAAAAACCCTGCGGTTCATTTCACTGATATGGAAAGGCACACCTTGTTTTATTGCACTTCACTGTATTGCACTGTGTTGAGCAAGCGTATTCGAGCACATTCCAACAATACGTGCTCACTTTGTGTTTCAGAGTCACATTTTAGTAATTCTCATAAAATTTCCAAACTTTTAAATTATTATTGCATCTGTTAATGGTGATCTCTGATGGGAGACCTTAAATGTTACTGCTACTGTAACTATTTGAGGGGGCCATGAACCACAGCCATATGAGACAGAGAAAGTTCTCAGTAAATGTTGTGTGTGTTCTGACTGCTCTTCTGACAGGTTGCTCCCCCATCTCTCTCCTCAGGCCTCCCTGTCCCCTGAGACAAAACAATATTGAAATTAGGCCAATTGGTAACTCTGCAGTGGCCTCTCAGTGTTCAAGTGAAAGGAAGAGTCGCCCCTCTCTCACTTGAAATCAAAAACTAGAAATAATTAAGCTTAGTGAGGAAGGTATGTCAAAAGCCAAGACAGGCTGAAAGCTAGGCCTCTTGTGCCAAACAGTCAACTTGTAAGTGCAAAAGAAAAGTTCTTGAAGAAAATTAAAAGTGCTACTTCAGTGAATGCACAAGTGATAAGAAAACAAAACAGCCCTATCGCTGATATGGAGAAAGCTGTAGTGGTCTGGATAGAACAAACCGCCCACAACACTCCCTCAAGCCAAAGCCTAATCCAGAACAAGACCCTAACTCTTTAACTCCATAAAGTCTGAGAGAGGTGAGGAAGCTGAAGAAAAAAAACTTGGAAGCTAACAGAGGTTGGTTCATGAATTTAAGGAAAGACACCATCTCTATAACATAAAAGTGCAGCCAGGCACGGTGGCTCACACCTGTAATCTTAGCACTTTGGGTGGCCAGGGTGGCTGGATCATGAGGTCAGGAGTTCAGCATGGTGAAACACTGTCTCCACTAAAAATACAAAAATTAGCCTGGCATGGTGGTGCACGCCTGTAGTCTCAGCTACTTGGGAGGCTGAGGCAGGAGAATCACTTGAACCTGGGAGGCAGAGGTTGCAGTGAGCTGAGATCGCACCACTGCACTCCTGCCTGGGAAAGAGAGGGAGACTCCATCTCAAAAAAAAAAAAAAAGTACAAAGTGAAGCAGCAAGTGCTTATGTAGAAGCAGTAGCAAGTTATCCAGAATATCTAGCTAAGATCACTGATAAAGGTGGCTGCACTAAACAACAAATTTTCAATGTAGACAAAATGGTCTTCTATTGGAAGAAGAGGTTATCTAGAACTTTCATATATAGAGAGGAGAAGTCAATGCCTGGCTTCAAAACTTCAAAGGTCAGGCTGACTCTTGTTAGGGGCTAATGGAACCGGTGACTTTAAATGGAAGCCAGTGTTCATTTACTATTCCAAATATCCGAAGGCCCTTAACAATTGTCCTAAATCTACTCTGCCCGTGCTCTATAACTAAAACAACAAAGCCTGGATGATAGCACATCTGTTTATAGCATGGTTTACTAAATATTTTCAGTCTACTGTTGAGATCCACTGCTCAGGAAAAAAAAAAAAAAAATTATTTCAAAGTATTATTACTCACTGAAAATGCACCTAGTCACCTAAGAGTTCTGAAGGAGATGTATGCAAGGATTCTATTGTTTTCATGCCTACTAACACAACATCCATTCTGCAGCCCAAGGATCAAGGAGTAATTTTGACTTTCAAGTCTTATTATTTAAGAAGCACACTTTATAAGGCTATTGCTGCCATAGTGATTCCTCTAATGGATCCAGGGAAAGGAAACAGAAAGCCTTCTGAAAAGGATTCATCATTCTACATGTCATAGAAAACATTCATGATTCATGGAAGGAAGTCAAAATGTCCACATTAACAGGAGTTTGGAAGAAGCAGATTTCAACATTCATGATCATTTTGAAGGGTTCAAGACTTTGGTGGAGAAAGTAACTTAGAGGTGTTAGAAACAGCAAGAGAACTAGAATTAGAAGTGGAGCCTGAAGATGTGACTGACTGCTGCCATCTCATGATGAAACTTTAATGGATGAGGAGTTGCCTCTTATGGATAAGCAAGAAAGTAGTTTCTTGAGATAAAATCTACTCCCGGTAAAGATGCCATAAACATTGTTGAAATGACAACAAAGGATTTGTAATATTAAATAAACTTCGCTGATAAAGCAGCAGCAAGATTTGAGAGCATGGACTCTAATTCTGAAAGAAGTTCTCCTGTGGGTAAAATGCCATCAAGCAGTATTACATGCTACAGAAAAATCTTTTACGAAAGGAAAAGTCAATAGGTATGGCAAACTTCACTGTTGTCCTTTTTTAAAAAATTGCTATAGCCACCCCAACCTTCAGCAACCACTACCCTGAATGTCAGCACCCATCAACATGGAGGCAAGACCTCCACCTATAAAAACATTATGACTTGGTGAAGGCTCAGATAATTGTTAGCATTTTTTTAGCAAAAAAAGTGTGTATCAATTAGGGTAGACATAAGGGTAGTGGCAGACTTAATAGAATACAGTACAGTATCAACATTTTTTTTCTTCTTTTTTTGAGACAGAGTCTCGCTCTGTCGCCCAGGCTGGAGTGCAGTGGCGCGATCTGGGCTCACTGCAAGCTCCGCCTCCCGGGTTCACGCCATTCTCCTGCCTCAGCCTCCCAAGCAGCTGGGACTACAAGTGCCCGCCACCGCGCCCAGCTAATTTTTTATATTTTTAGTAGAGACAGAGTTTCACCATGGTCTCAATCTCCTGACCTCGTGATCTGCCCGCCTCGGCCTCCCAAAGTGCTGGGATCATAGGCGTGAACCACCGCGCCCGGCCCGTAACTTTTATATGCACAAGGAAACTAAAAAGTTTGTGACTCACTTTATTGCAATATTCACTTTATTGTAGTGGTCTGGAACCCAAAATATCTCTGAGGTATAACTGTATGTCTTTGCCTCTACAGGCCTATTTTAATTCCTTGAGTATTTTTAAGTTTTGATGACTAAAACAGCAATTAGCATTGAATTTAACATTTGTTTATATTTTCTAAAAATACTTCACAAAGAAATCTATAGAACAGCATGTCAGGTACCCAAGATCTACCACCCCTTTCCAGGATTTTGAATGAAACACAGTTTTGTAAAAGGATTTTCAATGGAAGTACCTCTTAAAATACTAAATTTTGGTTCTGCTACCAGTAATGGCAGGGTAGCTTATGTCGGATTAACTTTCCCACAAATAACTATCATAAATTCTGGAAAAATATAAAATATACATTTGAAACATATTTTCACACAGTGGAAAATGAAGGGAACAAAGTAGGAGTCTCAGGAGAGAAGAAAGTAAGAATGGGGCAGGAAAAAAGTTTGAAAAATTATGACCACAAATTTCTCAAAACCACACTTAGGCACATCCTAGTCAAACTACTGAGACCTAAAGATACAAACGAGTCAGTCTTCAAAAAAGTCAGAAGAGAAGACACATTATATATAGGAGAACAATAATACAAATGGAAACTGAGTAACAGAGGCTTTATTACAATGGGAAGCCAGTTTTAAAGAGCTGAAAGAAGGAAAAACTCATCGACTCAGAATACTGTAGTTAGTAAAAATAACCCTGAAAAGAAAAAGTAAAAAGTAAATATATTTTAAGATAAATGAAAACAGAATTTGTTAAAAGCTGACACCCATAAGAAATGTTAAAGGAAGTTCCTCAGTCTGAAAGTAAACAGGAAATATATTTACCATTTTGGATAAGAATATGAAAAATGGTAAGAATATGGGTAAAGAGAGAAGACTACAGCATATAACTGATTAAAGGGAAAGTCTGACACTGTATTGTAGGGTTTATAATATATGTAAGTGTGCTATACATCATAAAAATAGCATAAAGGGTCAGGAGCAGTGGCTCACACCTGTAATCCCAGCACTTTGGGAGACCGAGGCAGGTGGATCATGAGGTCAGGAGTTCGAGACCAGCCTGGCCAATATGGTGAAGCTCCATCTCTACTAAAAATACAAAAATAACTGGCCATGATGATACATGCCTGTAGTCCCAGCTGCTCGGGAGGCTGAGACAGAAGAATTGCTTGAACTCATGAGGCAGAGGTTGCAGTGAGCTGAGATCGCACCACTGCACTCCAGCCTGGACAACAGAGCAAGACTCGGTCTCAAAAAAAAAAAAAGCATAAAGGACAAAATGTGGTAAATGAAATTACACTTATGCAAAGTTCTTACAATTTATGTCCAGTGCTATTACAATATTAACTCTAAGTTGACTGTAATAAGTTAAAAAGAATATTATAAACACTAGAGCAACCACACACAAAAAAAGAGAGTACAGCTAAGAGAACAACAGTTTTAAAAATATTATTAGAGCAAAAGAAGACAGGAAAGAAGGGTGAGAGAACAGATGAGGCAAAGAGAAAAAGCAAAATGGCAGTAATAAGTGCAAACATATCAACTGCCCAACTATGTGCATCTACAAGAAATACAATTTAAATATTTAAAAATACAATTTAAATATGAAAACAAAAATAGGTTTAAAGTAAAAGAATATATACCATGCAAAGACTAATTATAAAAAGCATGAGTGCCTATATGAATATTAGACATAACAGATTTCAAGACAAGGAATATTACCAGGGTTAAATAGAGACATTTCAAGATGAAGAAAAGGTTAATTCATTAGGAAGACAGAACAATTATAAATACATATTATATGAGCCTGACAACAGAGCTCCTAAATATATGAGGCAAACACTGACAGAACTAAAGGAAGAAAGAGATGATTCCAGATTCAAACTTAGAGACTTTAACACTGAGTAAATAAAAGACAACTGGATAAAAATCAATAAGGATGACCAGACGCAGTGGCTCATGCCTGTAATCCCAGCACTCTGGGAGGCCGAGGCAGGCAGATCACGAGGTCAGGAGATCGAGACCAACCTGGCTAACATAGTGAAACCCTGTCTCTACTAAAATTACAAAAAATTAGCTGAGCGTGGTGGCAGGCACCTGTAGTCCCAGCTACTCAGGAGGCTGAGGCAGGAGAATGGCGTGAACCTGGGAGGTGGAGCTTGCAGTGAGCCAAGATCGCACCACTGCACTCTAGCCTGGGTGACAGAGCGAGACTCCATACCAAAAAAAAAAAATCGATAAGGATACGAACAACACTATGGTCACCTCGGCTGAACATTTCCATTTACTGCAGAAAGTTCTACTGGGCAGTGCTGCTCTGGAATCTGAACCAAAGATATTACTATAATTTTAAATTTATAAATTGTTCAAAGGAGAAACTCAAATTATCTAATCAGAAATTATGTCAGTAGCTTTATTTTCAACTAATTTGCTCTTAAAATTGTATTTAAACTTAAATTCTGTTGTCCTATAACACTGAATACACACTCAGCAAAAAATCAAATTCATTTTTACCAACACGAAATAAAATCTCCTAGTCAAACTTAATTTAGGAGAACTGTGAAGAACAAAGGAGTATACAGCACAGAATTATTTACAAATCACATCTTACTTTTTAACTTACTTATATATTTGATAACTTGTTCTAATTTTGAGTCCACCTTTGATGAAGTTGATCATATTTTCATCCTGAAAATAATTCAGTTAAAAAATTAGATTATTTAGCAAACAAGTTTAAATTGTCCCCACAGTTGTGTGTTTATGTGATTAGAAAAACAAAAACAAACAAAAAAAAGCATTTTGAGGACATAATTTTGAAATTAACGCATACTCTTGCTTTACATTTAAAAGTTTTTGGGGTACTTTTTCTTCTACATTAGAGGACAACAAAAAGAAAATGCTTGTAAAATCCTTCAATTATTTTATATTACTAAGGAGGTAATCCTCACCAATTAGGGCCCATATGTGGTCCAAATTATTTTAATAAACATCGACAACTACTGAGCTATTTTCTTGTGGGTTTAACAGAATCTAAACTGGACAACTTTACAATCTGCTCTAAGGCCAAACCTTCCAGTACATTACACCCAGTAAAGGGGACAATGGTCCTTCTTTCACAGAGTACTTTAGCAGTCAGAGTCTATTAAATGTTGCGAATTTTACACATACACATTTCCAGGCCCAAAATAACTGGTCTAGTTTCTGAAGTGGCTGTCACTACTATGCAATTTTGTTTTAGGAAAACAAAACCACTTCAGTTCTGTTTATCTGATGGTCATTGACCATAAAATTGAGGCAGTTGGCCTGGATGAATGGCGTTTTCGGGGTCAGCATTCTAGGATTCTAAGACAATCTCTCAATAAATTACATCAAATAACCACTTGAAGGAAGTTACTCTAATAGATGGTGCTAGTGGAGACAGTCCTATGTTCTGCATTTCCAGACAGAAAGTTTGTCTAGTCTATTGATATCAGAAAGATGCTCTGGCCGGGCGCAGTGGCTCACATCTGTAATCCCTTTGGGAGGCCGAGGCGGGTGGATCACGAGGTCAAGAGATAGAGACCATCCTGGCCAACATGGTGAAACCCCATATCTACTAAAAATATAAAAATTAGCCAGGCATGGTGGCGGGTCCCTGTAGCTACTCGGGAGGCTGAGGCAGGAGAATCACTTGAATCTGGGAGGCGGAGGCCGCAGTGAGCCGAGATCGCACCACTGAACTCCAGCCTGGTGACACAGCGAGACTCCATCTCAAAAAAAGAAAAAAGAAAATGCTCTGCTATGTATTTCTTGTATACTTAAGCATCCTCCTGTAGCAAAAGAAAAACTGACTTTCATTTACTAATTTCATTAATTGCTTCAATATTTATTGTTCTAATTATTATAAGAATCAATAGATATGAAATTCAATGTTTATCTTCTTAATTTAAGGAATCTTATGATTACATAAGATCCAATACCAACCAGAAAAGAATTTCTTAAATTAGCTTGAAATATGCCTCGAAAAAAAAAAACCATATTTCATTTCAGGATTCATCAAACTTAAATTTAATGCCTATTTTATACCAGGCACCCAAATGCAAAAACAGATGAAAGTAATACAGTATGTTAAGGGAAGGCGTCATGTGTGGAGAAGGAGCCAGGCATAGGGACGGAGTCATGCACGGGGATGGGATCATGCACAGGATGTCATGAGAACACAAAGTAGTAGCATGGAGAGGGCCAGAAATCCCTCCTGGAAGCATTGGTGCTTTAAGCACAAAAATAATTAGAAACTGGCCAGGTATAGAAAGGCAAAGCAGATGTGAACTTTGTAAGCAAAGTAAAACTTAAGTGGAAAGATGGGGCGGCATTCAGGATCATGATGGGTTTGGCCATGTGTGCATATGTAATTCCACACTGCTGAAGAATCTGTTGCAAAGAGAATGACCAAGGAGTTAAGAAAGCTACCTCCAGCCATGCTACTCAATATGCAACCCTGTCAGTGGCATCCAAGGACACCTGTAAGGTGTGTGTGTGTTGGCAGGGGCGGGGGCGGTAAGGGAACATAGAGAGGAGGTACCAGTTTTGTTTGAAAAAGTACCCCCCTCATTTGTGATATTCTGATACAGAATACTGCCACAGTCAGTAAGAGCTACTGAATGCTGAAGCAGAGAAGTGACCAAGTCAGAGACTCGTTTTTAAGAGGGTACTCAACCCTCAACTGCAGAATAGGGAATGAGCTGAAGGTAAAAGAAATTAGAGAGGGAGAGTCACTAGGTTGCTGTACAGTTCAGCAAAGAGTGGATAAGCACCTCTTCTAGAACAATGACAGAAAGAGATGGAGTTGCACAATCTTTAAAAGGCTAAAGCAGCATGAATATAAAAATGATTGGGTGGGAGGCATGAGGAAGAGGGCACAAATACGGATATCTCTTTAATTTCAAGTCCGCAAACATAAAATAAGCCTCCAAATCCCAGATTTGATTGCCAAATTCCTGTTTGGAAAACAGAAAAAAACTTGGGCCTCCATGACTATCATTATGATGCTTACTGAGGCAGTAAGACTGTTGTTATCAACCAGCCTTTGTAACGTCTATGTTTTAGGAAACAGGGTCATGGGCTGCAGTGATTCCGTTTTATTAAACCAGAATCCAACCTAAGAGGTAAACCTCCATGAAAAGAAAGAAGCAACTGCCAAATAATTTAAGATTGTGGCCAGGCATGGTGGCTCACGTCTATAATCCCAACACTTCAGGAGGCTGAAATGGGTGGAACACCTGAGGTCAGGAATTCGAGACCAGCCTGACCAATATGGTGAAAACCTGTCTCTACTGAAAATACAAAAATTAGCCAGGTGTGGTGGTGCACACCTGTAATCCCAGCTACTCGGGGGACTGAGACAGAAGAACTGCTTGAACCCGGGAGGCAGACGTTGCAGTGAGCCAAGATCGCGCCACTGCACCCCAGCCTGGGTGACAGAATGAGGCTCTAACCACCCCACACCCCTCCACAAAAAAAAAAAAAGATTGTGATTAAGGAAGATTTTCCATTTTACAGTTGAATTTCTTTCTGATTTCTTACACTCTCTACTCCACCTCACTCTCACTGTAGCCATCACTGCCACCCATGAAGCCATTATGTGAAGATTTATGTTTTAGAGAAGCATTGGAAGATACAGAAATAGACAAGGTACTGACTGTACCAATTCCCAGAGGTGAAATTAAAATGCCTCATAAGAAAAGGATTAATTGTTTAGTGACTTTTAAAAAACTGTTTTTCCAAAGGAAGAAATAAAAGAAAGGGGAATTAGAATACAGAAAGAAGGGGAAAAATAAAATTTGAAGTGTACATGAACTTTCCATGTATGCCTAACTGAACTTCACTGAGGCAAGTGGTGTAAAACGGGGCACTTCCTCTGCCCAGGCCACTCCCATGTGCGGCCTCTACCAGTAGAAAGTACAAAGCGGAATATTCTCCCGGTTTCCACACAGATGCATCTTAAAATTAGATGTGGCAGTTGCAAAGCAGTTTCTTTAAAGTTTCTTTTTTGTTTTTGAGGCGGAGTGTTGCTCTGTCACCCAAGCTGGAATGCAGTGATGCAACCTCAGCTTGCTGCAATCTCCACCTCCCAGGTTCAAGTGATTTTCCTGCCTCAGCCTCCTGGGTAGCTGGGATTACAGGCATGCGCCACCACGCCCGGCTAATTTTTTTTTTTTTTCTTGTATTTTTAGTAGAGACGGGGTTTCACCATGTTGGCCAGGCTCGTCTCGAACCCCAGACCTCAGGTGATCCGCCCACCTCAGCCTCCCAAAGTGCTGGGATTACAGACATGAGCCCCTGCGCCTGGCCTAAAGTTTCTTTAAAGGCACAGTCTTTAAAGGGCAATGATTCCCAGTGGAGTGCAATTTGAAATAGATTCTTAAGTACAGTAGAGGAGGAACAAAGCTCTCTAGCATCTTTTTTCAGACAAAGTTTATCAGAATAACAAATATTTGCCATTACAACTCTAAGTCAAAAGAACTGAAGCTTTGACATAGAATGCACCACATTTTTCTATGCAGCACTGGCTGTCTTCCCAGCCAATATAAATTCTAAGCCAAATATTCATTACCTGCACAAACGTGAGTGCAGCTTTCTGTAGGAGACACTCGGCATAACAGATTTCAGCATGCATTTCCTCTACGAAAAACAAATAAAATTATATTAAGTAAAATCCCACATCCAAAGTGATTGCTCTGTGATGCTCAGGAAAGACTGGCAGATAAATTAACCCAAGAGAGACCCCAAAACTTAGATGGCCCTTGTGCTTCCACAAAAGCAGAATGATAACCCCAGTTCTCACTTTGTCAGGAAGATTTTCCTGGAATGTGTGAAGTGTTCAGGGAGGTCATCCCCATTCAAACATAACTGCGAAGAGTCAGTCACTTCGTATCAGAGACCCAAACTCAGCTCACAAGGGGAAATTAACATTTAAAAGCACTTTAAAAAAAAAGGAAACCACTTATTTTTTAACTTAATTAGTAACATAAAACTTTGGCTGTGCGCAGTGGTTCATGCCTGTAATCCCAGCACTTTGGGAGGCCAAGGTGCGTGGATCACCTGAGGTCAGGAGACAGAGACCAGCCTGACCAACAGGGAGAAACCCCGTCTCCACCAAAAATACAAAAATTAGCCAGGTGTGGTGGTGCATGCCTGTAATCCCAGCTATTTGGGAGGCTGAGGCAGAAGAATCGCTTGAACCTGCAAGGTGGAGGTTGTGGTGAGCTGAGATTGCGCCATTGCACTCCAGCCTGGGCAACAAGAGCAAAATTCTGTCTCAAAAAAAAAAAAAAAACAACAAAACAACTTTAACATAGTTTTAAAAGTTGAAAAAAACTAAATTAAATGTATGAATGCTAGCTTCTAAAATATAAAGATATGGTAACCATGACACTAACCAGAAACATTAACTACCTGAAAAGAAAGCAGCAATTCTCTAGAGCTCAGTGAAAAAGAAACGTCCTGCATGGCCATGTTAAGACTCCTCATATGTTAAGATCTGATATAAAAAGAGACAGCACTATCCCAGTTTTAGGCTAATTTGATCATGTAGATGTCTAGCACAAGAATAAGGTACTCTCAAAAAGGGGTTAGGTGGGGCTCTGTGCATCGCAGGGGCCTGTGGAGTACCCCAAAACACATACCCTAGCTTCCCAACAACCCATTATACTTGCAGAGAATGGAGAGACAAATCTTTACTTTTTTCCATATACGAGGCAGCAGATTCTTGCTCTATCCATGAGATGCAAATTGGCATGATATTTAAGTAAATGAGCCTGGGGTATTTAAGAGCCTGGGCTGCTAAAAACGCTCTGCCATGTACTGGCTATAGGACCTCATCCCATCTCTGCTGGTTTCCTCATTTATAAAGGCCACTAACACCACCTCTGGTTCACAGCCGAAGGATCAAATGAGGTACTGCATACAGAGCTCATGATACAGAGTTAGCACTGGATCAATGCTAGCTACGTGCACTGAGATTACTGCCCTTGATCCATGTCACTGCTTTTTGATAAAAGCTCAGAAAGCATTTTTATGTGGAATGTGACTGAAAATAGAGTATTTCTGTATTATTGGGATTACTGCTAATAGACTTAGATGACAACAAGTACTTTCTTGCACTTATAGACCCCACCCCCACCCTATACACACATACAACCCACTGGTTCTCACAAATTGGTTCAAGTTCCTGCCATGCTCATATTCCAAATGTTTAATTTACAAAGAAGCCCCTCTGCAGCTAAGGTCTTCAACAGCGCACAGAGAGATGGGGCCAAAGTCACGACAAACCAAACTTGAGGAGTTACAGCCTGCATGCCCACAGCCAGGGTCTCAGTCCTTCAGAACACCTCTCTTCAAAGTGTGCCTGGTGATTTTCTAGCTGTGTTCAGTGGGATACCAACTGGTAACTTACTTTTACACAGTCACCTGAATATCCTCTTCCTAGGTAATTCTGTGACACAGTGAGAATCAGGAATTATTAGCTATGAAAGTCTGCTCAGGAATACAGATTGCTGGCTTGGGGTACATGCAGAGGGGATGAAGTCTGTGGTGGTGATGGTGGCAGTGGGTGGGGGGCAGAGGGGAGTGGGCCGGTAACAGGAGCAAGGAAAGCCCAGAGAACCTTCAGGAAAAGCCAGTCAAGGGAGGAGACAGCAATGAGGCTGGAAGGGCTAAGTCAAGGCTCAATTATAAATGGCCTTGAATGTTAAGAGTCTACAGTTGATTCAGGAGGCAACAGTGAGTCAGTCCTTTCAGAGATCTGAGCAGACAGGTGGGCAGATCAGGGTTAAGTGAAAGATGAACAAATTTAAGAGCAGCACAGGGATCAAGGCAAACAGAAAAGGCATGAGAGTTTGAACTTTGCATTCCGCAAATAAGTATCTGTCATATTAAATCCCTTTCACATCCTAGGCACTCACTGCATATAAATATCTGTAAAGGCCATTTGAAACCCATTTGGGGCAATCCGCCAGCCACAAGAGAAAAAAACTAGTATGTTCCACGTTAAACTCATGAAAAGTTTAATGAAATATACTCACTCCTGTAGACAACCAGACCTCAAGGATGTAAATGAAAATTACCAAGAGGAAAAACAAATCACACACTAAAGCTACAATGTTTTGACATGCTCCCTTGAACACAAAGTCTGTTTGGGTTGCAGTTGACAGCCAAACTCACTAAGAATAAAATACAGCTTAATTTATAAAAGTCTTACTCTTTCACTGTGTTTGATTTACACTGCATAGTTCTTTAGTTCTCAAAATTAGCCATTAGGTACTTATGAGTGGGTAACTACCAGAATATCTCTTAATTGTAAATTCCATAGTCCACAGGAGTAAGTATCTTCATGATGCACTGAAATAATGTTAGCTAAGCATTGCCTTTAGATATGAAAGTCTAAATAAACCTGTATTTCATAATAGGCTATACTCACAAGTGTATTAGTTTATTTTAGTTTATATTACTTTATTTTTATTTATGTAGAAACAGGGACTTGCTCTGTCACCCAGAGGAGAGTACAGTGGCATGATCTGCGCTTACTGCAACCTCTGTGATATGGTTAGGCTTTGCGTCCCCACCCAAATCTCATCTTGAATTGTAATCCCCATAATCCCTATGTATCAAGGGTGGGACCTGGTGCGAGATGTTTGGATCATGGGGCTGGTTTCTTCCATGCTGTTCTCATGACAGTGAGTGAGTTCTCACAAGACCAGGTGGTTTTGTAAGTGTTTGACAGTTCCTCCTACATGCCCTTCTCCTTCCTGCTGCCTTGTGAAGAAGGTGCCTTGCTTCCTCTTCACCTTCTGCCATGATTTTAAGTTTCCTGAGGTCTCCCCAGCCATGCAGAACTATGAGTCAATTAAACCTCTTTCCTTTATAAATTACCCGGTCCTGGGCAGTTCTTTATAATAGTATGAAAATGGACTAATACACTCCGCCTCCTGGGCTCAAGGGATCCTCTCACCTTAGCCTCCTGAGTAGCTGGGATTACAGGCACAAGCCACCATGCCCAGACTACTTTTTATAATTAGTAAAAAGTAATTTTCTACTTTATTGTAGATTTCCTAAAGCGCCATTGTTCAAAGACATTATAAAAACATAACAACACAGTATCATCTATTTTCAAGATGACTAACAGAAATAATTCAATATTTCCTTTATCCATATATGACACATTTCGTGCCCTTCTCTACTTCCCTAAAGGAGAAAGTGTGGGTTACGGTGGAAAGAGTTGTGGCTTAGGGAAAGGCAAATGATCAGTTAACCCTACTCTGCTAGGTGGGGAATCCTGGCCATTTGTTTATAACTCTGATCAGTTCCAAGTCTATAACGAGGAGGTTAGACAGGTGAATGTTAAGAAAAGCAACAAGGACAGTATATAGCACATACAGAACGTTTTTTAAAAATGGAGGATCATCGGCTGGGTGCGGTGGCTCATGCCTGTAATCCCAGGACTTTGGGAGGCCCGAGGCAGGCGGATCATGAAGTCAGATTGAGACCATCCTGGCTAACATGGTGAAACCCCATCTCTACTAAAAATACAAAAAATTAGCCGGGCGTGGTGGCAGGCACCTGTAATCCCAGCTACTCGGGAGGCTGAGGCAGGAGAATGGCGTGAACCCAGGAGGCTGAGCTTGCTTGCAGTGAGCTGAGATTGTGCCACTGCCCTCCAGCCTGGGGGACAGAGCAAGATTCTGTCTCAAAAAAAAAAAAAAAGGAGCATCTTATTTTTCAAATTATTATTATTATTTTTGAGACAGAGTATCACTCTGTTGTCCAGGCTGGAGTACAGTGGCGAGATCTCGGCTCACTGCAACCTCCGCCTCCTGGGTTCAAGCAACTCTGCTGCCTCACTCAGCCTCCTGAGTAGCTGGCCACTAGAGGGAAGCCATAGAGAGGGTAACAGAAAGGAGAATACAACAAAAGAGTTCAATTTCTTTTGGGCCTATTTGATTTCTTATTAACCCACTTTAATGAACTTTAGATCTAATGGAACTAATTTACATAAGTAGCCCAAAGACGGAAGATATGTAGACACATTCTATCCGAAGTCAAGGGGATAAATAAATTCTTACAAATAGTTGGAGGTCAGTTTCCAGAGAAAAAGATGTAGGTTTCAGCTGCCTAGTGTGACCAATGAAATACCATTCTGTTTGACCATGGTTTTGGGGTCAACATCATGCCCCTTTGAAATAAGTCCCAAAGATGTGAAATGTCTCATAATTCCTCTCCTATAATCAATACTCTAGCTTCACATCGTGCACATGTTCCCAAGTTCTCCGAAGTCCAAAACAAGCTGATAATACTCATCTAACAAAATAAACAAAACTTCCTAATAAAACACCCTCAAAAATATGTCTGACATATACTTGACCATTAGAAACTACTCTGACAGCAGGATCCAGAACTGCTCTTGCTCTAATCAACCAAAGCTACTTCTAGTAGCTTTGTATTTTGTGTTTTCTAGTATGGTATATTCTAGTATTTTGTGTCACCTCTTCAGATAACACATTTGACAATGACAATACAGGCACAGATTCTCCTGGGATGGCAAAAGCTTTATTCTACAATGATCACATTTGAAGGACATTTTTTTTTCCTTCTACAGGAATATCTAGATGCTTCTTTCTTGTAAACTATTCTGGACTAGAGTGTAACACTGTAAAGACAGAACTGATCATGAAACTTCTGCCCTAGTCCCAGGGGGCACATCAAGCAATTTACAGCAACAGCGGTCATTTCCTCCCATCCATCTGATCAGGGTGCCGCAGCCAACCTTTCCTGGATTCCTGAATATTCCTAAATGTACACAAACCACACATCTTCCATACTGTGAAACATCATTTTTTAAAAGATATCAAAATTACTTTCACCTTGAAAAAAATTTTTAATAGCTTGTGGAAAACTAAAATTCTCACAGATGAATGGTAAGAATATAAACTGACCTACACCTTTGGAGAAAAAAACTGGGAATACCTATAAATATTGTAACTTTTCAAACTGCCAGTCCCGGTTATTCCACTTTTAGAAATCTATCTTATGAAATAACTTTTCAAGATGCATGAATCTGTATGTATAAGGATTCTAGGACACCATTATCTGTAACAGTGAAAAAATAAAAACAATAGAGAAAATCCAATTTTGGTGCACAATACATCAATCCTGTGGAATATCACACAGCTGTTAAACACTCACATGTAATGACCTGGGAAAGTGTCAATGTCAAATTTACACCTATTATGTGATTTTATGCTTGCAAAAAAAAAAAAGAACAATCCATGAGCGACAACAAAAACCCTATGTGTACCTTATTTATGTATTTGAGTATGTACGCAGAAAAGGCTTTACAATGAACTATTAACAATGGTTACTTTTGGAAGGTCAGTATGATAGGGAAGAGAAAAAGACATTCCATTGACTTTATACACTTCAGTATGGAATTTTATGAGATGATCATTTTTTAACTTTTAAAATGAAGGAAAAAAGTGATCTTTTAAATGACTTTTACCTTCACTCAGTTGCTCCAGGGATCCTCTAGAAAGAAGACTTGAGAAAGATTCTACAACTGTGTATTTTTTCCTGTATCTACATTGAGTAAATAAAAAGGGAGATAGAAAATAGAAAAAAAAAATCAGGCTAAGCTCATTTTCATTTGCCATTCATTTCAATCACTATCACACCAAAGAGTCAAAAAGCTGAAACTCTAAACCCTGAAGTCTGTAGGACACAGATCATCCTTTTCCAACACTCTACAGTCAGCACTGGCTAGCCACTTGCGGGAACTCAGTCTGTGTTACTGAACACCACGTGGGGAAACCCACACACGCCAGTGAAAACTAACCTCCAAAGTACCTTCCCTTATCCTGATAACTAAAATCAGGATTTGTGTAAAATTCTCCACAGGTGAAAAATGAAGTTAAAGTGCAATATTTGGAAGCTCTCTTCATTGGAGGAGCTTACAACACCATTATATCAGGATGCAATTTCACCCATGTTAACCTTCTGATCATGAACCTTCTGCCCTAGTCCCAGCGGCACATCAAGCAATTGACAGCAACAGCAGTCATTTCCTCCCATCCATTTGCTCAGGGTGCCGCAGCCAGCCATTCCTGGATTCTTGAATATTCCTAAATGTCTACAAACCAAGCATCTCCCATACTGTGAAACATTTATCATTTTTTAAAAGATATCAAAATTACTTTTGCCTTGAAAAAAAATTTTGATAGGGTCTTCCTATACACACAGGGTAAAGCTTAAAATAAAACTAAAACTCTATCTCATTTTCACCAAACAAAAGTGTTCAAAAAGAGGTCCTTCTTAAACAAATAAAACATTCCCTCATGAATTTGCATCTCCCACTTAAAACAAAAACATTCCTTGCGTGGCTTGGTTTGGCGTGCAGTACCTAATGTCATCTACCTTGAGAGATGCTTGCTGCTAATCCCACAGAAATCCACCCCCCCCCCCAAATCTCTGTAGCTCAGACCCCAGGTTATCAAAAAGAAAAGTGGAATATATAGATGCCAAATGGGAATCCTTCAGCTTCAAGGCTGAATTTCTTTTCTGTAACTGTGGCCAATTTCAAACACAGAGCTCTTGGTCAGGCAAATGACATTATTTTTGTTACAAAGGCATAAAAGTTTGCAGTCACATCTCAAGTATTGAATGACTCGTCATACTTTTGGCAGGTTTGTAAAGCATCCTTCATGGCAGAAATGCCATTTTGGATGTCCTGTTGCTCGAAGGTCAGGACAGCCTGCAACACCACAATGGTACTGTAGCCCAGAGCATGGTACATACTCTCCTTAGCCCTGGGGAGAAAACAGGGAATTCAGACATTTTAATTCAATGGAAATACTGATCATAAGAAATCCTAGGAAATGCATGTTCTGACTTGCACAGTAACCTTTATTCCTTCACCATAATCACCAAAATTATATGGGTGGTGAAAAGTAACCTCTTAAAAACTCAAGTACCAAGGACTTTCCAATGTAAACCCACACAGGCAGAACAAAATGTTCCAGGTTGAAGGGGACAATATGCATTTCCCTATTTCAACACAAGAGGGCAGCCTGCAGGCAGATTCCAAGCAAACCCACTGTCTTCAGTTGAAAAGAGGGCAGCACACTACCACCTTTGGCTCTGAAATAAGTGCTAAAATAAAGGCCGCTGGAAATGTATTTTTTGACAGAGAGATTCCGATATGTTTTTTCAAAAATAAAGGCTCATTTAAAGTAATTCCTCTCCTCTCCAGCCAAAGGCCAAGAGCAAACAAGATTTTGGAACAAGTTAGGCTGGTCACAAGAGCCATGACCAAAGTAGATGTCAGACCTTATATCTAGTCTAATCCCATTATCTGAAATTCCTGATTAAAGTTCTTGATATTTCAAATCATCAAGTTACAGTGAGAACTGCTTCAGGATTCTTAAGGATGTTAATGACTCCTAACGGATGGCAGACATCCAGATTCTCGGGCTATGAGAACATCATTTATTTTCTCAAAACTTCTTAAGCTGTATTAATTATTTATAAGGTTTAAAATGCTAATGCATGGTTTTGTTTTTAATTTAAATATTAATGCATAACAGCCTGCTGCCATGCAAAACAAATACAAGCCACATTATTTTTTGCCCCCACGGAAATAGTCTAAACATCCTTTGGTAATTTGCAGCTTGTCCTGAACATTGAGGGCACTCACTATCTGTTCAAAAGAACCACAAGGAATCAGAGCAGCTCAAAGTTAATCATTAATTGTGGTTTCAAACCTCACATTTTTAACTGGAAGCTCTTTCAAGAAGAAAAAAAAATTATTTCAAATGAGGGAAAAGTATTAGTTATTTATTTATTTATTTTTGAGACAGAGTTTTGCTCTTGTTGCCCAGGCTGAAGTGCAATGGCACGATCTCGGCTCACCGCAACCTCTGCCTCCTGGGTTCAAGTGGTTCTCCTGCCTCAGCCTATCGAGTAGCTGGGATAACAGGCATGCGCCACCATGCCCGGCTAATTTTTTGTATTTTTAGTAGAGTCAGGGTTTCTCCCTGTTGGTCAGGCTGGTCTCGAACTCCCGACCTCAGGTGATCCGCCTGCCTCAGCCTCCCAAAGTGCTGGGATTACAGGCCTAAGCCATTTAAACAGTGAAACATGTATAAAACTCAGAGATGAACCTGACTGAATACAACACTAAATCGTTTATTTTCATCCCATGTCATGATCAGCTGTGTGTCAGTGGCAGAGAAAGACTTGTTTGAATAAAAATCAAAGGAGATAATG